CCTTTTAAGGTACCTCATTACTCGCTCAATAGCTTGCCAATGTTCGTTACTCGGCCTACTTGTAAATCTGCACAACAATCCTACGACATATGCAATGTCGGGTCTAGTACAATCAGTGGCATACCTAAGACTGCCAATGATGCTCGCATATTCTGCTTGTTTGACACTTTCTCCAGTGTTCTTAAACAGTTTCACACTTGGATCATACGGAGTGCATGCAGGTTTACAATCAAAGTATTTATATTTCTTTAAGATCTTCTCCACATAGTGAGATTGATCCAAAGAAATTCCTTGGTCGGATCTCGTGATCTTGATACCCAGGATCACACTTGCTTCTCCGAGGTCTTTCATATCAAAGTTATTGCATAACAATGATTTCATATCATTAATGGCCTGAAAGTTTGATCCAAATATAAGTAGATCGTCTACATATAGACATATGATAATACAAATGCGATTCTCAGATTTGTAATAAACGCACTTGTCACTTTCATTCACTTTGTACCCATTAATTATCATTAGGTTATCAAACTTTTCATGCCATTGTTTAGGGGCTTGTTTTAGTCCATACAGAGACTTATCTAACTTACAGACCTTGCTTTCTTGTCCTTGGATCACAAACCCTTCTGGTTGTTCCATATAGATTTCTTCTTCTAAGTCACCGTTTAAAAAAGCTGTTTTAACATCCATTTGGTGTACTATTAAGTTATAAATGGCTGCTATTGAAATGAGTACCCTAATGGATGTAATTCTAGTGACCGGAGAAAAGGTGTCGAAGAAATCTATATTTTCTCTTTGTCTAAAACCCTTGGCTACAAGGCGAGCCTTGTATTTCTCAATCGTTCCATCAGGTTTTAGTTTCTTTTTCAAAACTCATTTACAACCAATTGGTTTGCAACCCGGAGGTAAGTCTACTAGGTTCCAGGTCTTGTTAGATTCTAGAGAATCTATCTCATCATTAATGGCTTCTTGCCATAAGTATGCATCCATAGATGACAGTGCTTCTTGAAGATTTATTGGATCTTCTTCTACATTATAGGCCGCATAATCGAGCCCATAGTCTTTAGCAACTCTTGCTCTTTTACTTCTCTGAAGTTCTGTTTCTACATTGTCGCTGCTTTCAGTGCTTTTTATCACAGGAATGTGACTCGATTGTGTGCCCCCACTATTTCTCGATTTGAAAGGAAATTTGTCTTCAAAGAATTCAACATCGTTTGATTCTATAATTACTCTGGCATTTAGGTCATAAAACCTGTATGCCTTACTGTTTGCTGCATACCCAATGAATACGCATTCATAGGCTCTACTAGCGAGTTTAACTCGTTTCGGATCCGGAATTCTGACATAAGCCAGACAACCCCAAGTTCTTAAATAAGACAAATTTGGTTGTCTTTTCTTTAATATCTCATAAGGTGAGATCTTACTTTTTGACTTGGGAACTTTATTCAAGACATAGCAAACAGTCAATAAAATTTCCTCCCACCAGTGAGATGCAGCACCAGAATTCAACATGATTGCAACTACAAGTTCAGTAAGAGTCATATTCTTTCTTTCTGCTTTACCATTCATTTCAGGAGAGTATGGAGCAGTCGTTTCATGTATAATACCATGTTCAGCATAAAAATCATTAAACAAGCTAGAGTCATATTCGGTTCCCCTATCACTGCGAAGTCTCTTAATCTTCTTGTTAAATTGATTCTCAATTTCAGTTACATACACCTCAAACATGTCAAACGCTTCACTTTTATTTTTTATTAGATATACATAAGTATAATCAGAGCAATCGTCAATAAAAGTGATAAAATAACATTTATTATTTCTAGTTAAACTTCCATCTAATTCACATATATCAGAGTGTATAAGATCTAGGGGGTCAGATTCTTTTATAATTGACTTATGTGAAGTTTTTGTTATTTTAGCTTGACTGCAAAATTCACATTTATTAGAATCATTAACATTTAGTTTAGGGATTAGGCCTAAGTTGCTTGCATTAGAGAGGATTCGTTTATTAATGTGACAAAGTCTAGCATGCCAAATATTAAAGTCACACAAAGAGTAAACAGAAGGAGAAATTTTATTCAAATCAACATTCAACTTAAACATGCCATCAGTGGCATACCCTTTTCCAACAAAAATACCATTCTTAGTGATGGTGTATAAATCTGCCCCTAAAGTTTGACTAAACCCAGCCTTATTCAAAAGAAAACCAGAAACAAGATTCTTCCTAATTTCAGGAACATGCATGACGTCCTTCAAGATTAAAGTCTTTCCTGAAGTGAACTTCAGCTCAACATCTTCAATTCCAGCAACATTAGTGGTGTGAGCATCTCCCAACAACACTTTCTTATCTTCAGCATTCATGTATGTCTTGAACATAGCACGATCATAGCAGACATGACGAGTGGCGCCAGTGTCTATCCACCAACCATCACTTCCACCAACCATGTTGATTTCAGTGATCATGGCAATAAGTTGCTCATCAGTCAGGTTGACCTGAGCATTTGAGCCAGCTGCAGGTTTAGGCCTGCTCCTACATTTCTTTGCCATATGGCCCGGTTTCCCACAATTGTAGCAAGAGAAAATCGGAGCATCATTTCTTTGAGGTGGTGGTTGTTGCTTAGCAAATGGAGCCGATGGGGCCCTAGAGGGATTCCCATTCTTAGTTCGATTCATAGCATTGCGGTTCTGATTCTTTAAAGGTTTGCCCGTAGGCTTCAGAACCGCACCGAATTTCTTTTTGTTGTTAGACACAACTAAGACTTCTTCTTTCTGATCTTGTTTTCGAGCCTCCTCTTCAATTCGGAGGCGAGTTATCAGACTCTCGATTGAAAATTCTTTTGTTTTGTGACGAAGCACATTTTTGAAATCTTTCCAACCAGGGGGCAGTTTGTCAATAATTACAGCAATTTGAAATTGTTCATTGAGGGGCATACCTTCTGTAATTATCTCATGAGCAATCTTCTGAATTTCGTGGCTTTGAGCTTCCACCGACTTCTCATCCACCATCTTGTAGTTCAAGTAGCGACTGACAACAAATTTCTTCGCACCTGCTTCTTCAGTATCGTATTTTCTTTGCAGAGCCTCCCAAACCTGTTTAGCAGTCCTGTAGCTACTGTAGTAGTCGTACAGATCATCAGCAAGGCCGTTCAAAAAAGTTACGATTATCAGTTGCACACTGATAAATCGCTCTAGAAATACACCTTTCTAAATTAGTATCTGACGCAAATAACCAGTCAAGAAAAGAAAAATTTTAGATGAAGAAGAATAAAGGGAGAGAAGAAGGAAATCAAAATTCGTGTGAATTTGTGAAATCCGATGTACTCACTACTGAATTTCTACCCTGTATTTATAGGCAGCTACCTGCACCTGAGTGGGGAGAAATTCGTGGTGAGTGGAGAAAATGGTGGGAGAATGAGAAATTTGGGTCCAAAAAATAATTCATCTAGACCGGACTGGACCGAGCCGGCGGCGCGCGCGTCTTGTTGGTCATGGGTGTGTCCTCACTCCTTTCACAAAATTAGGTGCCCTTTAGGGCCCAACCCAATAGACAAAGTTGGAATATATAAACACTATTAATATTTCCATTCCCTTCAATGTGAGACTAAAATGAATCTTTTCAAATTCACTTCTATATTAGTTCTCACTTGTGTTCATTTATTGCTCATTAATTATCAACAAATATTTTCAATTTCCACTATAATTAATTAAAGTTCCAACATGTTCTTCCTAAGGTTTATGATTGTTCACAACTAGTATTATGGACGGAAACATTGTCTACGAAAAATTCCCATGTAGATTTTATTCGTGTGCAGTTAGTAGAAATGTAAAATTCTCATGTAGATTTTGTTCGTGTGGAGCTAGTAAAAGTGTTGTCATTCATACTCAATCTTTTTCAACGATAAAAAGTTATGGGTCACAAAAAATAATCAATGAATTTTGACTCTGACCATCCATAAAAATCCACTGCATGAAAAAATCTGTACATTAATTATTCGCAATTTATCTTCAATGTGTTTTTTATGTGCTCCATTTTTTCTATTTTGCTTGTTTTATCATGGAATTAAAGTTTTAAAAATTAATTGTATTATAGAGAGGATGTAAAGTCCATTTACATGTCTATTTTTTATTCTTCATAAACTCTACTAGACCCGCGAGTTTCAGAACGATAAAATATAGTTTAGATATAATCTGAATGGTACTTTCTCAGACATCAAAAACTTTAAGGTGACACTTAGATATTAACCTATTAAGAGGGACAGAAAATTGAATCATAGAAAGAGAAATAAGTATCAATGTACTGGTTACAGAAATTCTAAACATCTAATAAAATAAAAAATCAACCAATCTAGAATTTAACAAGAGACAGACACACCTAGAACAGTACCTATCATGAAACTTAGCCAGAAAAATCTTTCTGCATTATTTTGAATGCAAGTCGAGTTTACACATTTTACAACAAACACACTTGCCAAATATTTATACCAAAATGAGAAAGGAAGTGCAAAGTTAGTCCCTCATTTCCAGCATCAATCATTGCTGCAAACCAAAATGGAAGGCAACCAACTATCCTCCATATCACTTCAAAAGAAAGGACCTGAAATAAATACCAGCTTATGAATGAATATTAATATGGTTCTATTCATATACATGTCTGTGTTATATCTGTTGTCTACGTGTCTGGTATCTACATGTCTGTAATTCACATAAGCCTATGGTTTCATTCATATTTATGGTAAACCATACATGTTTATGTTTGTGTTGTGTCTAGCGTCCATGTCAGTCGTTTAAATGAGCTTATGGTTTCATTCATATTTATGGTAAACCATGCGTGTTTGTGTTTGTCTGGCGTCTATGTGTATGTGTTGTGTCTGACATCCATTTCAGTGGTTCACATAAGCCTATGATTTTATTGGTTCAAAAATTTCAAACAAATTCAACAAAAAAAGTATGAAAGTGAGAAGACAACCTCTGCATTAAAGAGCAAAAGTTGGCATTATGGCTTAACATGAGTCATTTCTGTCACCAGTTTCTTTAGTTGCATTTATTTCATCAACAGTGACGGGCCTTCTGGAAGATCCTCTGACTTCGGAATCAGCATGGCAGCTATGATCAGACTCTTCCGATGCATCTTCAACTGTGATGCTGTGGAAATTCAAAACTGTGGCAACAGATGTTCGGGCTGAGTCCTTTATGTTGTCGTCGACACTGTAGAATGGATCAAATGAGGCTCGTCCCTCCTCATCATCTCCAAACTTCATGTCATCCTCATAATCATCAAAATCAAAATTCCGCAGAAGTTCAGGAATCGGAAAACCACCATTGTCTGCACGCATTGATCCCATTTCAACATCAATTTTCTCCTTTGGTGTCAAAATTCCGTCCGCAATATTCGGAGTCAATGAACCAACCGTCATATTTTCATCTTGCTGTACAAATGATCGGAAATGATTTTTTGAAGCGGGAATACTGGAACATAGTGTTTCTCCAATATTTGTCAGTGACCCCTTATTGTATGGATTCCCCTTTTTATCATATTGGTACCGGAAGTTTTCATAAGTTGTCTGCACAATAAACAAAATGTGCAACACTGTAACTTTGAAGAATAAACCCAGACATTGATGGAGACGGATCAAAAGTCAGGAATAATTATGAAATTTTACGCATTTTGAGGAATAAAATAGTCACCTGGTTTGTACAGATGAGATAGAAATGGAAAGCTGTGAGGCCCCCAACAAACCAGACAGCAATGAAGCAATATATAATGAGAATATCCGATACATAATCATGTGAGATTGCGCTCCAAACATCTTTCCTGGTCTTGGAAAGATTAACCCAAGAGAACACAAAGACATATAGGCACAAAATGGTTGATGTTGTAATAAACATGAAGAAGTACCGATAATTTCGCTGCAATTATGTTATCATGTACAACGGTTAGTTCTTGTGACAAATGAAATAAACAAACAATTCATATTTCTGTTTCCAAACAAAAATCTAAGAAGCCATTTTGCAGTAACGCTGACTTACTCTTCCGATGCACTGGCCAACCCACGGACAATGATGATCAAATCTCTGGACACAGTTGTTGCATATAGAACAATGAGAAGTACGAGGGGGTCGATAAAGCAAGCATGTATCACAAAACTTAACTTTCACCGTGTAACCATTAACCATAACATCTTTCGTTCGAGGTAGTTTCAAATGAGGGGTTGAGCCATTAATCCACTCCATGGAAGGAGTAGGTATATTAAATGTTTCGTCGCATTCAGGAGGTGTTGAATTTCTAGGGATAATTCCAGGATCTCTCCCAGAAGTCAAGAGGAGGAATAGGAAATCCTGCACATGAGAGTTGACTTACATATCAGTTTAAAAATTTAACTTTGAAAAGAGAAAGACGTTCTAATTGTAAGCTACAGAGAAGGAGTAGTGAAGGGAATCTACCAAAATAGTGAGAGTTACACCCACAATCACTATGGGACACCAAAAACTATGACCATTGGGGTTCTCATTCTTGGCTTTAAGATACATCTTGACACAAAATGTAATTGCAGGTGCAGCAATTAGGAATGATGTAAGGAACAAGGAAGCTACATCGGGACCAAAAACCAGTCTCCCACCACAGAGAAACTTCTGAATAAAAAGAAGCAGAAGAACCGAAGCAGAATTAGTAAAGAATAACATGTCCGTCATTGATTCAAGATACCTATTATCTAATCACGCATAAACAAAAGAAGTTCAATTATTGTCAATCCAATACAACAGCTTAAAAGCTTCCAAAGGTATGAAAAAAAAATGCATTTATTGAAATAAAAAATTTCTGACGAGAAAAGTGTTCCAATTGAAGTGGCACCTGTACCCCAACAGCTTCATGATACCAAAACATCATCGATTTTGCATTCAAATCCGTATGATAACGGACATAAGGGCAAATAAACAACAGCCAAACAAGTTTAACTACCAGATATTTGCAATCGCAAGCATCGGTCAACATTCGTCATTTACTACAAAAGCAAATTTAGCATATGTCCAGCTTCGCATTAGAGTATTCAATCTCGAACCAAACATATGCTTAGTATCGCAAGCAAGTAAGCATCCAATACACAAAAAATCACTAATTATGCATGAAAAGCAATAACAATCATGCTACAAGAGAAAAAACACATTGATGGAAAAGTAAAAAATGTAACAAACAAAGAAAAACAAGTTCAAAATGAAATAGAATCGATATCAAACACAAGCAATCAACAGCGTATAAAAATCAAATTTTGCTGTCATAATCAGGAACTAGTAATAACCAAAAGAAAAGGTAAAAAACAAAGAAGAACTGACATTGCCTCCTCTCCAAACTTGATAGAGCCTCCTCGGTTTCAAATCATGGGCCCCAACTCCAGAAGGAGGAGACCCAAATTGCTGATTTGTATTCCTAATCATTGCAGCAGCAGCACACGTGTGTCACCGGAATTCGTCTCTAACCTTGACAAAACCCATAAAAACCCAAATCAAGCAAGCCTCAACCCCGATTCAGAATCTTGTAAAAAATCTGAAATTTCGATGAGGGGTTCCTACGATGATCCTATTTCTGCAGTGAGAATGGAGAATGCAGATGAAAAAGAGAGAGAAAGAGAAGTTTGTCGTTTGGAATCACAGCAAAAGAATTGAGAACAAAGCTGTGACACCAAATTACAAACAGGAAAATTTGTTGAACGAAAGAATCAGAGGAGGAGAAGAATCTCCATGACCCTTTTTGTTATAGAAAAAATTCCTGAAAGTTTCCGAAAATTTCCTTTCTCTCTCTAAAAGTGTTTTCTCTCTCCTCTGGGAAGGAAAACCAAAGTGCTGGCAGCTTAAGGTGTTCTTGGGCGGATGTTTCAATTCTTTGCGGCTTTTACGCGCGTTACGCTTTTATTTTCTGTCGCAACAAAATTCATTTTCATATTAATTGAGACATGTTTGTCTATATCTTATCATAAATGAAAAAGGGAAATAATCCGAAAAATATCTTATATCTTTTCGTATCAGTTTGTTATAAAATAAATGGTAATTCATTTCTTTTTATAGATTATCAATATCCAACTTAATTTTATGATATTAAACATTCTTTCACTAAAAAGTACACTTGCAATAATATTTAGATAGACATTTTTTAACGTGTGATCTATTCAAATAACATTGACTTTTTTTTTATAAATATTATTAAATTTTTTTTGTAATATCTATTAAAATTGAATTAACATCTCATTAAAAACGGTAAGTATAAATGATATTTATCAATAATTTTTTGTCTTTTATTGGAAAAAAAATTTGTATATGTAAGTTTAAGGGATGTTATTGAATATTTTAACACTAGAGTGGGTGAAAGTGTCATTTTCAAGATTGTCTTTAAAAACGTGTAAGGCGAATTACTTCTTAGAATCTAAAATTTATTACGATTAAACCATAGTTAAAAATATATTGTACAACACTTTTTTATAGTTAAATCAGGGTTAAATAGAGTCTATAATTATTTTTATCATCGTTGAACTAACGCTGGTCATTTTAATAATTAATAAATCTTAACAAAGGTGAGTGTGATTTCCCCTTTTTAATTTGAGGGTAAGTTTGGTGATCAAAGAAATCACGATAAAAATTCATGTAGAGCTTGAAGTGTCAGTTTTTCAAAATCATGATAAAAAGGACATTAGATGCACAATGACGATGATTCACTCGATTGCTAGTTCTAGAATAGAACAATGGTGCCGTCTGTGGAAATCGGTTGCTGATTCCTACGATTTCCACGAATTCACATTCATTCTCCAAATTTCGCAGTTTGTAATTTCTTTCGATCACCGAAGAAGTATTCACAATCAAACGTGGGAACCTGTCGTGTTTTGATGAAGAGGGGTCGACTAGCTAATATTGCCAAGGGAGGCAAGTCGGACAAAGAAGAATCACCTAAGGATAAATCTCTCTTAAAGATCGTGACGGTCGGGACAAATGGAGAAAATAATGAGGCAGGTAAAGGCAATTGACAATACATAACCGAATGAGCACCTCGGGCAAACTTCTCTTCCAAAGGCACAATGGAAAGAAAGGTCATATATATAAAGATCTGGAGCTATGCACTTAGGATTATGCCAAACACATTAAAATGATGACGTCCAATAAACTCTAGAAGAATACCTCATCAGTTCAAAAAAGTCCAGATCGATGTACACATGATCATACAAATACACCTTAAATAGTTAACAAAAACATTTCATTCAATAAAAGATGTATTTTCTACATACTTTTCCATTACAAGGTACTATCAAACAGCACCAGTACACACACACAAAAGGTGGCCGACAAGCCTACATACGCAAAAAAGTGATTTTCCCATTTGTGACGGCTTGGTATGGTCGGATTTTCTCCCTCGAAAGAATCAAAGGATGGTGAAAATATTTTACTTGATCCAAAGCATTTTCAAATGATTGTGAAACCTCCTATAGGGTGGAACTCGTGCAGTTAGTCAGCTGTTAGGTTAACTAAGTGTTTTGAGAATGTAAGAACTCTAATTTTTGTGAGCAGACCGTAAACTATTTTAAATAGTAGACAAAGCTTGGTCTTTCATTTCCACCTGGTTGGAAAGAGAGTTACCAACTGATCCATGTGATCAGAAAGAGAAATAGCAATCTTCAAGGGAAGTAAAACATTCTTCACCCCAATAAGATAGATAGAAACTTCCTTTACTTCATGCAGGTACCTATCTCGGTGAAGATTCAGGTCGCGGATAATGGCTTTCATCCTTTTCTTTTCATCATGGTACCAGTCGGACCAGAAAGCTTCCTAGTGACTGAATGCACCAAGGGCCATAGTAGTTGAGGCGCACTAGGTATACCTAGCCAAATTGCCCATTTCTTCCTTGACAATGGGCCCAGAAAGGTTAGCCAAGTAAGCACAATACTCATCCAAATGAGGCGACCGACAACCTTCAGTGGAGCGAGAACTATATGCCGTCAATAAAGGGCGATCAGTCTGACCTAAGGCATTTGATAAAAAGGAATGACACAAGTTCCATACTTGTCGCATATTCTTTCATCCTTTGAAGGATTCACGGCTCCCTAATCAAAAGGTAAAACAACTTTTATAAAAGCACCGTCAAGACCACTTATTTTGGCAAAAACAAAAGTAGTTGAAGAATAAACAAAATACATCCAAGAATATGGGGTATCCTTTTGAGACTTGTGAATACTCTTATGTGATTTCTTGTTCATAGTGCACTAATTTTGTAGTTGCAAGGAATGAAACGTTAAAGAGCGAAACAGATAAACTATTAAACTAGGAAAAGGAAGACTCATAAAAAGGAAAAGGGCATTTATTCCCCTAAAAGAAAACTATGCTCTAGATGTTAAAAAGCTTCACCAAACACGTCTAATCATTCACACGAAACACTCAAGAGTTTTGGTTCCCCAAGAACCTTCATGATGGTATCTATGAAAAGACGCTTTAAGTACACCACATTAAATGCATGATTCTTTAAAAACTTGCATGCTTCTTATTCATCTATCTTAAAATAATCATAAAGCAGTCAACTCCGGGGCTGTAATATCAAACACATGTCTATTTTAAATATCAGCGAGTGCTTAGGGGTAATTGTTCTGGGCTGACCAGATCGACCCCAGATTGTTTTGGGTCAACCGCATCAACCTCGCCCGACCACTGTGAAAAGGTTCATTTCTTCCAGAATCTTTCTAGTATAAAAAATGGTGATCCTTATGATCACAAGAGAAGATGCCAAATTGAAGACGTCTGATTGAGGTAACAGTTTTCAAATCCAATTTCATTTTGTTCTTATTTGTCATATACTAATTTGAGCGTTTGAGTTCTAACCTTGCAAATCCCCCCCCCCCCCCCCACACACACACACACACACACCCCACATCGAAATTCATGATTTTCCATCACCGTTGTTCATCTTCTTATTTTTGGTTTCAGAATAGAACAATATAGTTTTGGGCCGACCAAAGGCCTAAAGCATATCAAATACACTTTACTTGACCTAGGTATAAAATCATTTCACATGATAAATAAGGTACATTCTCTGATCTCCACTTTTCACTGCACTCATCTTGATTCTTGAATTGACTTGGGAGTAACCATGAAAGTTCATTTCGCGTCCCGATAAAGAAGATCAACAACATCGTTCAAGATCATTAGTTATCCAGTTGCTTCCACTTCTAGTTCTTGAATGAAATAATGGTGTCGTCTGTGGGAATCAACTTCTGATTCCTACAATTTCCACAAATTCGTATTCGCTTTCCAACTCTAACGTGTGAACATAGAAGCTTTAAATTTGGATTCTTGCGATTTCAGATCCAATCTTTGATTTATTAATTTATAACCTATTTAGATCACAAAATCAAGAACGTTAGAAGTGAATACGAAGATCTGTCACAACCGATCTCATCAATCATTATTTCTGCTTCGACCTTTCGAGGTTCCAGATCATTAATTGTCTCGAGAAATCTGAAAAGAATTTGAAGGAAGAATGTATATCCAGATTCACGATGAAAGCAATGGAAAGTGAAAGTGAGTTCCTCAAATATAACACTGAAGATTCATGTTCCATCTTTTGATCTAAGATCGTTGCTATCTCCAACCACCGACAAGATACTGACCACAATGATGGCGAAGATGAGATGAGTTCATAATTAATGTTAGTCATGGATCTAGTGTGAAAGCTCTAGATATATGTACCAGAAGATCTTCGATCAGTGAAAGTCTCTCCTTAAACTAGTTCAAAGATTTTCCTTATCGCTTGGTATAGTCCTCACTAGAAGGTTTGGCACGGGGGAAATGTGTAAGGCATAGAAGCTTCCAATCTCAAATATCGGTCATCCGATAAGTGTAGCAATTCCACCAAGGTTGAGGTCCATACAAGGATGTCCATAAGCAACATTCCTCGAGTGGCATCGCCCAACTTGAATAAGATGACTATGAAACCCCCGAAATTGGGCCAGCAAAAGTGGATGGGAATCATCAACATACAATCAAAGAAAAGGTACCTCGTACTCTGGTTGCAAAGGGACCAAGAGGCGGTAATTTTAGATTCTCGTCCAACATTATCGTTACCATGCAAACACTAGACAGAAAGAACAATCTTAGTTCTTTCCACATAGGTCTAGGAGACGGGCCTATTAAGGAACTTTGTCAACATCTGGTGATCCTCGTGGTTCAAGTAGTAGGGGGCCACCATGCCAGATTTCCCATAGGCAGACCGTCAGCCACCCATGGACTACTTGAGGTAGATACCCACTCCGGAGTAAGTAAGAAGTTGGGGAAATTTCAGCCCCAATGATAAAAAAAACACCTCGCGGGAGCACTCAACAAAGGCAGTTTTAGGGTCTTAAGGTTTCAACGATCATTCTTAAGCTACACCCCTAAAAATCTAACTACCCAACGATGTGTAGGGG